TGTATATATAGTATATATATATATATATATATATATATATATATATATACACACACACACATATATATATATATATATATATATATACACACACGACATATATATATATATATATATATATATATATGTATATGTATATATATATATGGTATTGATTTTAATGGGTAACAACAATACCTCTTTAGTTTTAAGCAAACATGTTCGTTACACAGGAAGACAACTCTGAGAAAGAATTTGTACGTTTCGGATCGTTTTTGACCTGAAGTACTATATTTGAACGTTGAAGATCCCAGGCACAACTTTATCTTTATTGGTATACGTCTGGACGTTCAGGGTGTAAAAATACAATGAAATCTAACAAGCCAACATTGGTAGGAATAATTAAACAACTATCAGACACGCTTATTATACCTTATTGGGTGCGAATGCGCCCATATCATCTTCATCCGTAGCTAAAGTTGAGTAACCAGTGCGACCATCGTCATCGTCATAATACCCACTGTTTCGGCTACCACCTCCCCTGCCGCCACCGCGACGGACCCCTCCACTGAAAGCACCTAAACCATAACTCACAATGTACAATCAGTAGGATATAGAGCTAATGAAGAATCATTCACCTGAGCTCCGTGCAGACAGTATTTGCAGCTAAATATATTTGCAGCTATCTGCCCACCTCCGTAAATATGTGCTTTTGTAAATATATATTTGCATGACCTGTCTAGCCTGCTGTAAAGGAGTAAACGACCATCTGTACTCCCCCCCCCCCCCCCCCCGCCAGGAGGGATATAGGTGCGCCTCAGAGATCAAAAGCGTTTCTTCACAGGGGGTAGCAACATGTGAATATATCCTCACAGGGTGTGCTGGGGCCTGAGGCAGGCTGAGGTGAGATTTCTTGACGGACCCTTTCTCCCGACACACCCACAAATACGCATTGTTGTTCAGTCACACGCGCTCACACATAAACACACTCACCCACGGTGGGGGGGGGGGGGAATACCCCCCCGCTTTTCTTTCAGCCGTAATAACGGACCCGCAAAAGTATGCTATATTTTTGAAACAAAATTCTATTTAGGATCCTTTGGGGGCCTTTTTCGGGCCTACAAATGGGGGAAAAGCGTTCCGGACAGATTTCAAGTTCAATAAAAGAATTAGGGACTTTACAGCTACGCTTTCGGTGATAAACGGTAAACCCTCAACATAGCCTCCTAAAATAAAACACCCTTTTTTATTTAAAACGCGGGTGTAAATAATTTAACACCCCATCCTTGTACTAAGGGGACCTGATTTTTAAGAAGCAAACCTAATTCACTATACGTGGTTTTGGATATTATCCTAATTTGTTTTCTAGACTTTCTCTAGAAACATTTCAAAATAATTTTGCAAAGGCGCCAAGTTGATAGCTCCTGGTTCATACAGATGTGTATCGATTTATGAACAGGATTGAGCACTTTTCGACCATGTCAAATCTTGGATTTCCATGTCGCGTATTAGCAGTTTGAACCTTCTGAGGGATCTCATATAAAATAAATACAAGTATTGTTAGTTCAGAACCTACCATTGTGGTATAGAGGGCTTATTATACTTGCTCAAAAGCACCATTCACGTGCATGCATGCCCATCAATGACATCCATTTAGAGTGCGTATTCAAATATATTGCTTCATTATAATTTTCAGACTTTCGTTATAATTATATAAGCATATTCAAACTATAATAATGTTATTGTAATCACTTGTGGGTGGATATGTAGTGAATTTTGACCAAAAGTTTAGGAATTGAGATCGTCGTGCAATGCATGGCACATCAAATTTCTTTTTCTTTTGAAAAATGGCGTAAACATATTTTTTCTAGATTTATCTGCTGTAACTTGCATTACGGTTCTAAGAATGCATAAATGATATTTTTTTAGACAATATTTGTACGTGACAACATTGAAACTTTACTAATTATGCATATATAGACGCAATAATCGTGTTTTGGAGGATTCCTATGTAGTGTTAGACTCCTAAGTATAGACGGTGTTCTGCTTGTACTATGTGACCTTGGCTCCTTTGCAGGTCATTTAGGAAATACTTAATCTGGAAATGTGCCATAAAATATTGGGATTAAATAAAAATCCGGATACAGAAGATCTGGAAAGCTTCTTAATTTCCGGCCCGGTTTGTACCCCGTATATGGATGGGGTGAAGAAAAATAAATAAAAATATGTACTACAGTAATGCGCTTTAGTAGCGTCATCTCTATTTTTAGGTATCATGCACATCATCAATATTGCATACTGATTACACGGAAGTATAGTCATTGAAATAACGGTGAATTTAATGGTGAATTTTTTGTTCCAATTGCAGATTTGCCCGCGATTTGTAGGATGTAATATTATGAGGTTTTAATTGGTCACAGAATATTACTTTTTTAGGGTGCCCTATACTTGGAGTTAAATACAAACACACATTCTCGTTTGAAATGTTGTAAACTATGAAAAACTTGACACGTACTTAGCGGATCCGCTTGGAAACTATGCCATATTCTGAGGCAGTTATTGGACTATATCAGATAGGCACCCATTTCTGATTTTGTATTGGAGCCTTGAAGTCTTGAACTGTTATATGAATCGACGTGTTTGTTTTTATTTTAAACATTGACCTAATTTGTGGTAAATATATAAATACCAGCAACAGCAACTAGCTAGTAGTACAGCAGAGGCCTAGAGAGAGAGAGTAGAGAGGACGCCTGATACTGCAACGTATGCTTTGTGACACTGTGCCGGACTTCGTTTCCATAAATCTCATAAGTTGGCAGCATATGCCGGACGCCTTGCTGGTCGTGGCTTGAATATTCCAATATAAGCCCATACGTGATACGACAAGTGTATATATATATTTCTAAAAGTCGTACATATTCATTAACGTTAACAGATACCGTGATATTTTAATACAAGATACTGATATATAAAAGCACCACCCACCTCTGCAAATTGTGCTTAAAAGTTCTATTTCTATTGTAAGGGCTCGCAGACATTCCATTATTTGTCTTAGGTGCTCAACATACTGAACGAACAATCATATTTAGAAACGCAAGATGCCGACATTAAGCAAAGTTCCCCCAATTCTGAGCAAGGAACAAAAGGACTTCATGACATGGTTTGAGGCGTTGGATGATGATCAACAGAAGCAAGTGTTTTCTGGACTCATATCAAGTGTCTCGCGGAAGCCAGAAGTTAGTAAGTTTAACAAGTATCTGTAGTAAATTATATATATATATATATATATTGTACACGTATATGTATGTGTATATCTATATGTACATATATATATATATATATCTATATATATATGTATATATATTAACATGTAAATGTACATACGTATATAACAAGCTGTACGGTACACGTCGCATCCACACATTTGAAGTCCGCACACACACACACACAAACACACACACACATACACACACACACACACATATATATATATATATAAATATATAAATATATGTATATGTATGTGTATATATGTATGTATGTATGTATGTATGTATGTATGTATATATAAATTACAAATATATACAATAATATATATACAATTATATATATATATATATATTATGTGTATGTGTATGAGTATTTTTTTGTCTCGTATGTGTATACCTACATATTTGATATATTTGATATATGTATAGGTATATATATATATATATATATATAATATGTGTGGTTATGTCTATGTTTATGTATATATATGCTTATTTATCTACATACCCATATATATATGTGTTATCATGTTTTTATGTTTATATATATATGCATGTATGTATATATATATATATATTCTAGATCCATGTGTATATTTTGGTTCACTAATATACTGTTAAATTGCTGTTTTATCACATATTGTTCTATTTACATGTATTGCATGTTTATATATTTATATATTTATATATATAAATATGTATATATATATATATATTTGTGTGTGTATATGTACATGTATATGTATTTGTGTATATATGTATATTTATATCTATATGTCTGTATATTCAAATATGTTTAAGTAAATATATATATATATTAGTTATATATATATGTTTATATTTGATACATAATTTTGCGTATATGTACATTTTTATTTTGCTGTAGTGTTTGAATTAATACATGTTCAAATATGGAAATACAAAAAGTATTGGCGCTCTGATGTTACGTAAAAGGTTGTTTTAGTTTATTGGCCATTACTCATATGTATACATCTGCCCACTAGTTGTCTCAATTTAAGAGTGCTCTCGACTTATAATCGTGTATGTCTTTTTCTCTCACGCTGATAGTTTCCAGCATAGCACGTGGCATCGCCCCGTTTGACAAACGAGATTTCATGGCAGCTCTGCCCAAGAAACTAGCCATGCACATTCTGTCGTACTGCGACGCTAGGTCGCTGTGTTGTAGTGCGTTGGTGTCCAAGCAGTGGAAGAGTCTGGCAGATGACGATTCCCTGTGGCACAGGATGTGCTCGCAACATATAAACAAGAAGTGCAAACGGTGTGGGTGGGGGTTGCCTCTGGAGGCGGAGACCGAGATGAATTTCGAGGACTTGGAGAACGGAGAAGAAGTCCCTATTGTACAGAGCAATGGTTGTGGAAATGGAGACAGTAATAGTCATCCAGCGGATAGTAAAAAACGTTTATTCGGGGGTGAGATGGCCGGGTGCTTCAACAACGCCTCGACAGAAAGTGATAGTGAAAGACAGACCAAACGATTGAAAAGAGACAGGTAGATATTGCTTTTGGGGATTCGGTTTGGTTTGTTTTCGTGAGAATAAGTGATTGCTTGTGGGTAGAGAATGCGTTGGGCAGGAGAAAATCTGTATGGTGTTTTCTGTCTGAAGTATATATCTTATTGGGGAACCGAATATTTACAGTTTGTGTAGCAAAGGATGCGAAAATGTACTGTACTGTATTCTGCACCAAGTGACCGTTGTTCAAAGTCCTCCAGCTATTAAGCGAGAGTTTTCAAGTACACTTTAAAAGTCTTACTCCTCACCACACCATATTGCTTATCACAGATCATGGAAGGAGGTGTATGCCGAGCGGATGATAGTAGAGAAAAACTGGCGGAAGGGACAATTCCGGGCCGCCAAACTTAGCGCGCACACGGACAGTGTACTGTGCCTAGAGTTTGTGCGAACGCGTATTGTATCCGCGGGATTAGACAAGACTATTCGTGTGTGGGATGCCAATACGCGGGAGTGTATAAAGACTATGGAGGTGGAGAACACAGCCAAGTGTCTGCAGTTTGATAAGAAGAAGGTCATTGCGGGGTGTGTGGACGGGGGTATCCGCATCTTGTGCCTGTGTACGGGTGCTTGTGTGCGAAAGATCGATGCTCATCGAGGACAGGTCAATACATTACAGGTACGTGATAAAATTTGCCTTCTTATATGCATGAAGGCTTGAGTTTATGGATTTAGACCAGGCAGATGCTCATATTGCGATGCTTCCCCAATATTTTAAGTGTTCCGACATGGAGATCGATGCTATGCTGCGACTCTTTACATCTATACTAAGATGCTCATACTTATCCTATCACCAGCCATGAAGTACTCACGTCAAATCTCTCTTCCCCACAGTTCGACGATCTGAATCTCGTGTCCGGAGGGTCGGACAGTATTGTGCAGGTGTGGAGTTTTGTTACAGGTCGGTGTACCCAACTGAAAGGCCATACCGATGCCGTCACGTGCGTTAGACTGCACAGTGGGAAGGTGCTCAGTGGCTCTGAAGACCGGACGTTGAAGCTCTGGGATCTGCAGACTATGATCTGCCAGACGACGTTCACGGGACACAAAGACACGGTAAGTCGTAATGAGCCGGTGTCATGTTTGTACTGAGGGTAGCAGTTTGTCGCGTGCTTCACATACACAGTTAGGTACGTCCCGGTATATCGGTCCCGTGTGCTCGAGCGTTTTTGCACATGCTAGGATAGGGGCATGCTCCTTGTATTGTTGCTCCTGTACTTAACAAATATTGAGTTATATCATATCAAAGTGTTAGCATGCTGGCTAATACACAGGCCGTGGCCTGTTTAGCATGCATATTAAAGTGCTGTTCACGACTGTTGCGGCGGGCTAGCATTGTTGGCTTGTCCCGGCGGGCTAGTATTGTGAGCTTGTCCACTGGTTCGTCGCTGGATGTGGTCGGTCTCTATCCAGTCCCGTGTTCTCCGTTCGGGCACTTTTCCGCATGGCCCATCGAACTATAGTTCTATATCTCATCTCATTATCACTCAGTTATATCTATCTGAGTACTATGAGGTATCCTTTGCTCACAATTTTTTTTTGGATTTATCTTTTGTTTCTGTTGCATGTTGCAGATCACATGTGCACAGCTTTCCCACAACATCGTAGTGAGCGGAAGTCTCGACAACACCATCAAGATATGGGATACTAAGACTGGTGAATGTCTGAACACACTCTTCTCGCATACCATCGGTAAGCATCTGCAAACATCTGTATGCTAGGATACTCATACTTTATTTACGGCGTTACTAAATCACACATCGCTAAGATTTGCCATCCATTTATACTGTCTTGAATATGCCATGTTGTTGGTGTTGTGGGAGGCAATATTTGGTGCCGGTTAGTGGCTGTATTCGTCTCTGATCCTTGGGATTTGATGACGTTTTATAACAAGCCCGTGTGCTTTGTCTAGTTGTATCAACTGGTTAGAAGCGTTCACAGTACTATGTCTACTAAAGCAGGACACACATGGTATATTTATGTATATTAAATATAAATACTACATATATATGTATATATATTTTACAATTTCGATGAGTCTGCGTTAACTCGAGATCGTGCTTGATTTTTGACTTTCTGTGTTTTCTGACATTGTTTCCCGTATTATCTCTTAGGCGTCAACTGTTTACAATTCGACAGCTTGCGCATCGTCAGCGGCAGCGAAGACGGTACCATCAAGGTCTGGGATCGACAAACTGGTATGTGACCAACCGAGTTGATTCTGCGCTAGTATACCAGCTTTTATATATGGTGTGCTTCTCTTATTTACTTGCCGTAGAATGAGTTTTGTTAAAGAGTATTATCTTGTGTGTTAGTCTGTCGTATACATCCAATATCAGGCCTGGCAAACGGTAGAGGTCACGCGCTCTCGCAGTGATTCAACATATGTTTAGTATGTTTTGTTAAATTAACGCCTTCATCCTTCATCACAGGTCACTGCATGTACACTCTCCAGGGCCACGACCAGTCCGTGAACACACTGCAATTCAACGATTCCATGATTGTGTCGGGTTCGGATGATAACAATATCAAGATTTTCGACTTCTCTGCCGAACCACTTCGAATCTCTGGCTTCTGATTGGACCAAAATCGGGTGTTGTAACGAGCCTGCTACCCATTGATAGAGTCACACACGCGCTCACCCACTGCGCTGAGTACAGACCGGGCGGTTTGTGTTCAACTCTTATTTAAGAGTTCTCGCACTCAGTTTGTAGGTAGTGTACGCGCCCTTTGGCCCAGCGGTGGTATACGCTAAGAATCGGGACAGTTTTGTCTGTGTAGAGTAACATGGAAATTATCGCGAGATGCCGCGTAGGCATATACACGGATGGAGAGTTCTTTATTGGTTGGTAGATTGCCATACAATATTACTAAGTCTGTTTCAGTGGAGCTCTTAAACCCGTCGTCAGGTTTCATTCATCATTCAGCGCCTAGTTATAGTTGGACAACGATAGGTGCGCGCTCCCTGGAGATGGCGTGGAATACATGTGAGCCGTTTCTAATTATATTATGGATGAGTCAATCGAGCACGGCAGATCGATATGAAGGAGCAGAATAAATAGTAGTTTTATCGCTTGAACGAACGCCGGAGGACACCACAGAGCTCGTTCTGCTGGAGCTTGTGAGGAAATCTAGATGCGGATGAGGTGCACATGCAGCACCACAACACAATACAATTTAATACAGCTGAATAAATAGTAGTTTTATCCTTCCAATTTAACATGCACTTTTCGAACACAGTCGAACGTGTACTGGTGACAATCCTCCTGTAGTCCAATTACAAAGAAATTAATATAATAGTTCATTTGTTTAAATCTATGCACGATACACAATAACTTCAGCCAATATATGAAACCTTCGACGTTCTAAAATCTATTCCGCTTTATTTCAAATTGAGTTCCGCTGCCATGGTAGTCGTTCGTATGATTTGTTACACATACGCTGAGAGGTGCGCACAAATTGATTCGATTTCAACTAGAATAGTGTGAATTAATAAAAGTCGATGTGTTGAATACAGCGCCGAAGTACTGAGCTATCAATTGTAGTATTTTCGTGCTTTTACTATTAATATTTACCTCGTGAGGTATTTTGAAAATGTAGTTTCTATTCAATTCTCCACCATCACAGATGCCTTGAACTTTATAGCGTTGTCGCCATCTGAAATTTAGTAAACAATGGTTAATTCATCGGTGTAAGTTACAGGCTGAAAAGATTTTACGGCACCTCCAGCCTCGAAACAGGAATCCTGTTTGCTCTGGAACGGCATTGTAAGTCCAGATGTGTTCCAAACTTCGTACTCGCTATCTTTGACCTGTATAGTATGATCATCGTTGGAAACACAGAACCCGGCAGGCGTTCCAGCACTGTTAAACAGCTGCAAACCCTCAACGCCCTTCTTATCACTGATATATATATAGAACGTATCGGTGTCTTTACTCGTGTATATATCCTTGGCGGTGTTAGGCTTGACTTCCATCCATGCTACGCTAGTTAGGTCTTCTGTCTGTTCACTCCCAGTGTGCTTGTAAGCAATGGCAACCCACGCTTCTGTGTCCTTGGTGTTGTTAAGCACAAAAGTCTTATCACCGATATGCTTTATCTTATCAACACCGCTTGTGAAAGCGTCTTTGACCGAGTTGAATGTGTTTTTAATACCACTAAAAAACCCTCCATCTGAGGTCTCTTCCTCTTCGGCGGTATTCGCTGATGCTGCCGCTGCCACTGAGAGTGAAGTGCACAACAAGGCGACGGGAAAGAGTACGGTAGACAATTTCATGCTGACTGAATGAGATTTAAAGTTGTTGAGTTGAAGTATCCCTATCTGACACTGACAGTATCTTAGGTGACTTTCTACTAAATATTATTATTTTAAACTTTTAACATTGCCTCCTTAATAGAACACTTTAAAAAAAACATGGTCTTCTACATAAAAATAATTATATATTGAATCGAAGGCTGTATTTACAAAATAAAGAAATAAATATAAATACATACTGTCGAATCACTCGAAACGCGGAAACGGAAACTGTAGTGTAGAGTGTAGACTGTAGACTACATAGCAACCCTTTTGGCGAGAGCTTTTACTACTGGCTCAATTTTTTGTGTCATTGCTTAGAATATAACCTTACAAGAATCTTTGGCTTTTTTTTAGGATTCTCGATTCAATGATTCATTGCTTTTAGGTCTCTTGGATTCATAATTTCATATGTACAACAGACTATGCTTTTTTTATAAAAATAAACAACTGTTATGTACACTGTACAGTTGTCACTTGTCATATGCCTACTAAATAAAACATTCAGTTGCCTGTTGTATTTATTTAGTTTGTACACAGCTACATTGCTACAGACTACAATATACACAGTACATTCTACAGTCTGCACTTCACAGTTCACAAATTACACTCTACTCTCTACAGTGCTCTCTCTCTCTCTCTCTCTCTAGAGAGGGAGTATGCCCTGAAACCCTTGGGCCCTGGGTCATTAGCCATTAACCATTAGACATTAGCCTACTATTTTCATAAAAGGATGCAGTTCCAGTGTTCCACACTTACTGCCATGTTTCACACACACAAACTGTCACAGTCCACAGTCCACAGTCCACATTCTTCTTCTCACTCTTCCGACTTCGAGTCTTCTAACTTCTCAGTTCTCAGTCCTCACTCTCTTATTGTTGTGTTGTTGTTGACTTGTCTTGTTGACTTGTCTTGTTGTCTTGTGTTGGGTTATCGTGACTGTATTCAGGCTGAAACTATGTTAAACTTCAGCCCTTCACTCATCAGTCATCGGTCATCACTACTGTTTTTCGTGTGGGAGTGATGGGACTGTCTGACTGTGGACGCCGGCGTAGCAGTGGCCATTTGGCCGGTGTGCGCGTACCCGCCGCCTCGTGCGATGACACACTCTTCTAGCTGGAGCCTCGGGCAATGTGCTGATTCATGATTATGCTCAATCAGAATGCTTTAAAAAATGATCTGAATTATGATGAATGTCAACATACGACTCAACAAGAGTTGTCAAGTTGTCAACAGCGATGAATACTGGGTGTGTATTCTCTCCTCAATTGGTATTTGGTAGTACATTGTTCAGTATAGACTATAGAGTATAAACTACAGACTGAAGTGACTGCAGAGTGTAGTGTAGACTCACAAGACAACTGTAGTCTGTAGACTGTAGACTACTCTCTACTCTCTACTACTCTAAAAAGGGTTCCTACCAGCAGTAACCACTAACCGGGAAATATTTTTATAGTGGTCAAGCTTCTTTTGTTTAATCGCCAATAGAAGGCTATAATTTATAATTTTATTCCATTTTTATTTATTGTATTTCTATACGGCAGCGTACTCTTTTTGTGTTTAAAAAATTTAAAAAAAACATTGGTGTATGAGTACTGTATGTACATTGTAGTTTGTACTTTCTACTGAATTAACACATATTTTAAATTTGATATTACTGGGAGGTGGACTATGGAGTGTGGAGTTGTGGCCTGTGGTCCGTCTGTGGACTGTGGACGTGGAGTCCACACTGCTCTCTCTAGAGTAGTACATAGTTCTCGAGTCTGGACTCTGGAGTCAGTACTCGCTGGAGCAGCTCCGGTCTTCGCCCTGTCGCCCACTCACAGTCAGTCACTCACTCTCTTCTTGTGTTGTTGTTGAGTTGTTGTGAGTCTGACTGTCTGAAAGCCTGAGAGAGTCTGAGACTTGAGACTTTTCAACTGTTCAGTCTTCAGTGTTCATCATTTTTCACACTTCACTGACACAGTCACTATCACAAGTCACAACACTTACAGTTCGAAAAAACAAAAAGCAAAAACTGTCACGCCTCACTAGTCATTGCTCAGTGCTCACCACTGGAGTCAAAAATGAGTACTGGTCCCTGGACTCGAGCAATATTTCAGAGTAGACGATCCTCATTAGTCATTACACATCAATAATTTATTGATTATTGTATTATTTTCTGTCTTGAAATACATACTATCACAATTCCATATGATTATGTATTATGTGACAAGTGATTCTTAATAAAAAAATCTGTTGTACTTTGGTCAGACTGTGCGTGGCTGATCCGTGTGTTTATGTGAAGCTGTACGGCTGTTACTAGAGTCTCTCTGTGGGTAGTAAAGCTAGTAGTAGTAGCGAGCGAGAGAGAGGATCGAAGAAAGCAAAAATGTTGATGGAAATGGTGCAACGCAATCAATTTGGAAAAAAAAGTTATCAGGGCATATATACATATTCTGATCATTAAAATCAACAACTGCGAAGTGAGCTCTAAACCACTTTACAACTGCGAAGGAAGATTCGGTGAAGGATCGTGAATTACTTGTTCAACTAGTTGTGTCTATTGTATCTGATCTGATTACAAAATATGTCTAACAGCAGTGACCATGGGCATGATTCGTTGGAGGAAGTTGATCCTCAGTATGTCACTGAGCCTAGAGTACAAATGTTTGCATCTGTAGACCACATGCCCAATAGAACTTACGGACACATTTTTGAAGAAGACACGCGGAAAGAATCGAGTCTGAAAGGTGGACTGGAATCCCAAATAGACTTGCTGGTAACTCCTCTACCAGAGCCATACGCAAAGGTAAACTAGCTGCGGTGTGCAGACATATCATAACTGTGAGAGTACAAACTATTGAAGGCGCCATCATAATTTTGCTATACATTTCCTTGGATCTCAAGATCTTCCCTTAATATTTGATATTCATGATGCTTTGAGTGTAGCGAAAGGCTGACGTCATATCATCCAGACACCTACTATATATATATACATTATAAATATACATTCATAAATATACATTCATATATATATATATGCATTCATATATATATATGAATATCTATATATATATATATAGATATGCTATTCATATATATATATGAATATCTATATATATATATATAT